ATTTAAAGTGAAACTTGAATAAGTGAAAACATGTAATCGCTAACTACTGCTTGATTTTAATACGAAGTGTTACAAAATATTGTCTTCCTACAAAGAATGTACCTGAAATTTAAGATTCTTATAAATAACTTGTTCCACATTGAAACCTATAGTTGGGATCGTCGTCACAACCTCGCCTACCTGCAAATATAAAAACAACAAACAACTAATATGTTCCTAACTTCGATCCTTAAGTCACCAAATCTTTGTTATGAATAACGATTTTATTATGAATAATAGATATAAAAGTACCTGAAGTCTGTACAGTATAGTTGTTTTTCCAGCGCCATCTAGACCCAATATCAAAATTCTCAACTCTTTCTGTCCAAATAAGCTACGGAAATAGCTCAATACTCCTCCTAAAATAACTAAACAGATGTTGTACTTTAGGAGTGTACTTCGGTAAGGGTTTTATTTTCACCGCTTCAATTACTACAATTTGTATGTATGAGAAGACGATAACCATAACATGAAAAAGAACTCACCCATCAGTGGAAGCAAATTTCAAGCAATCTGAAATTCGTTCGGTTATGAAAGGTTCAATATTACGTGGTGTCAAGGTTGGCAAATACCAACGATTACCATAATTTTAAATAAAATATAGGAGACTTTCGAAAACCTCAAATAAAATGGCCAACAAATTATCAAGCAGTTTACGAAAACAAATGATCTTCACACTGCAATCTCTTCAAGTTATAAAAATCTGACAGACACTGTAATTACTCAGCTTACTTTCGAATCTTTCCTTTAGTTTCTCTTCGCATAATACGTAATAGCACGCTATTTTTACATCGGACCGGAACTAAACTTTTGCAAAACCTGCCCTTTCCGACATGCAACCAACCAGCAACTTAAAATCAAACAAACTTTACTCTAGACCACCACCACTTTATCATATTTCCAATATTTTCATGCGGCCCTGGTAGCATAGACTCAATACATATCGGAATATCGGATAATATGATCATCTGTGAGAGAAGAAAGACAGGAACTAACGTTTTCAAGGTGCACTCCATATGGTAAAGAGGCCCGACTTCAGCCTGAATGACAGGTAAGGTCACACGGCTATGTTCAAACTCTCGCGCTTGCTCTCCCCACCTTAACGGTTTGCTTTAACTTGGTCAGCTACCCCTCATACATCAGCTAGAAATTTCAAAATAGATTCAACAGTTAATCACAGAAAGCGACATCTCCCCTCATTTGTCTATCTGTAATTTTGAAAGGATGCAAAATCCCATCTCTGTGCAGTGCTGCTTATTAAACTAATTTATTTGCTTGTAAAAATGTAAAGTGCTGACGGTATAACTTCAGTTCCTGGAACTCATAACAGTAAGTTTCAGCATTGTTATATTCATTCACGTTGTGTTGTAATCACGTCATATCCGTTTTGTTTCATAGGAGGATCCCATTCTCATAAATAAGCTACAGTTCATTGGTTGTTTAATCAACGCGTAGCACTTCTTGGCTTCCACTCACCTTCAAAGCCAGAAAAGTACACAGTCCTGAACAGCTCCAGCAGTGGGCTACAAGCATAATAAAAGTATTGTGCATGCCGTTTCATTCTGTATATACTCTAACGTATCTCATGCAAATTCACGCAGTTTATCTTCCAAAGTTGATATTACTGTTATGCCAATCAACGCACTTTCCTCAAAGTATCAATGCTGAACATATATCACATATATATCACAATACTGAATAAAAATACTGAGTGCATTAATACTGTGCTATCCATAACAATACTTATTAAAACATCATTCATAATGCATTTCTTTCAGAGCTACGACTATCCTTCTGTAAGAAGTAGGAAAAAAAATGCTGGATAAATGCTCCAAACAAAAAATTGGTTGGAGCATTTATCAAAGTTTGAGCAAAAATAATCATTCCCCAATAAAACGGATTTCATAAACTTTTGCTTGCTATACACGCAGTCTCTTTTCTTTTTTTCGTTTTCAGCAGTATATATAAAATTATCTTTTTTATAAACGTAACTACAAATTATGAAGTTCCATCAAGTGATTTTTCTACAGATTCTGGGTGATGGAGGTGTACCAAACTAAAGACACTGCTTGTTTGATTTTTTATTAGATTGAAGTTTCCTGCTGATAAACGTGAGTTAAGAGGACACAATGCTACTAACATAAATATTCCAGTAACAATATGAATAGATGGTCTAACGAAAACTAATTAAACAAATGTTGGCTGTGCTACCGAAGAACAACATGATGGCAAAAATGATGAGCTCTTGTCGGGAAGAGTAACACCATCAACATGAAAAGCAGAACTAAGGTGGTCGCTATCTTCTGCATCGGAATGCATGCTGGATACCAAAAGGCGGTCGCGCATTGCTGCTGCCAAATTATGGAATGCGTCATCACAATTAATACCTGTCTTCGCGCTCACCTGTAAATTATTTAAATACTTGCATTCCCGAATACTTTTCACCTTACTAGCTTAGCGTTTAATGGTTGCTTAAAAGGGAACACTAGCAAAGGAAATTGCATCCACTATCTACTGCACTAATGATCTGGTCTCATACTTTTCTCAGTCTCATTGGAACACTACCGCATGTCACGCAGAGTTATTTCAGAACTTGTCCTAGGCTATATCTTAATATTTAATATTTCCCAAAGAATGTTATTCTCAATGCATACATAAGAATTAGCACATAAAAGAACAAGCAGTTATTACTTTCTATCCACAGTTCGCATTTCTTGCTTCTTACCGCCCCTAACATTTGATCGTCCAAAAGTGGCATAAAGAAATTGAAATCTTCATTTGTTAGCTAACAGTTATTTCATGCACTGGAGTTCCCATCAGCATGTCAGTAAATCTATTAAAAAAGAAAAACTTCGTAAAGAGAGACTCCAAGCTCGTTAGCGAGGTGTTCAGCGCGTTCAAAATTAACCATTCTTTTGTCTTCTAAATCAGCTTTGTTTCCAATTAGCATTAGCACAGCATTTGATGGCGCGTGCAGTTGAATTTCCTATAATGTTTCAATGAACAAAACAAATGACAAACAATCGCTCTTTCGATTGCAAATTCTGTAATAACTACATAAATCCCATTAGATGCTTTTTCCTAACTACCAGAATAAAAGCCATAGCAGTAAGTAATGGAACTTCGCTGCAACAGAAGCCGTAAAATCAAGTGAGTATAAAATTAGAATTCAATTGTCAACATACGTCATGTAAAACTGAGGACATATTAATAGTAAGCGGAATCACGTGACATTTGTTTTTTATCGACGTATCGAACAGTTTTCTTAGAAACTTACTAAATTTCAACGAGGGAATCATTAAATAAAAAAATTTTCAAGAAAACTCGACTTCAGAAAGGTTTATAATACATTTGTTTGTAGAAAATGATTCACCAAACTATTTTCTTCCATAAAGTTTACCTTTAACCAATAATTACGCAAATTATTAAAGGATCGTTCGTCTGTCAAATCATAAACACACATTACTCCATGTGCTGAATGGTAGTATGAGTTATAAATTGTTCTGTACCGTTCCATTCCTGAAAAAATTTCAAAACTACCAATTATTTCTAAAAGTATTTCTCACTAGAGTTTAATTCCATTCATTTAATTTAATCTTAGTTTTTGTAATCACCACAAGTGTTTGGTTATTTAGTGCATATGTATTGTTAACGATGCGAGAAACGGTGGATAAAACCATATTTGAAGGACACATTGTAAGCAGAATTTTAAATTATAAGAGTCGTAAGAAGTATGCAAAAAATAATTCTACGCTAGTTACCTCCTATTTCTATCATATATATCATTTTTATCAGCTTACTCTGTTCAATTCAGCATGCAAGGAACTTGAAGCATAAATCTAAAATCGGTGTATATATATTGAAAGAGGAAAATTTTTTAATTCTTTTAAAGCTTTTGAACTCAGTGCTTGAATTAGGTTAATTGAACCGAGAACCCTTTCTATTCTCATTTAGTGAATGCGATACTCACAATGCAGTAAAGATGTGAATTGCAGCTGCTTAATTACCACGTGAAAAGAAATGCTAAATTAGGTGAATGAAATTAGAATATGACAATAGAGTACCAGCTGTATCCCACAACTCTAGCCGGATTTTATCACGACCAAGTTTGACTGTTTTGAGTTTGAAATCAACACCAAGCGTAGTAATATGATCCTGGCGAAATGAATTTTCAGCAAAGCGTAGCAAAATACATGACTTTCCACAGTTATGGTCGCCAACAATAACGATTTTGAATAAATAATTGTAGCTCATAATATAACAGCGATGATTTCTACAATACAAATAAGGAAGTCAAAGAGTCAAATACAGTAGGAAACAAAAACAAAGGACGATGACTCAGAGAGATGGTTTGGTTTATATCTGTAGAAATAAGTTGGTAAGTAGGCAATGGATGATGGCCTTTGAACTAGTAACAAACACAATGAGCAGAACACTGAGAGTGACATAAATGTGTAATGAGTGTTTAATGACAAGTCTGGAAGTGGTTGGTTGCTTCATGGATAGACAAATGTATCTAGCGAACACGATGAGTGAATATAGTTCTTATCGATGTATCACGTAGTAGCAGTGATAATAAAACAACAACGATGCGAGGAAGCAACAAGAAACAGTCCACTTCACGTATCAACAAGTCACTAATAGATTTGTCGTACGTGTAAGCAAGATAGATGCAGATTGGTATGAAGCGCTACACGGGGAAGCGATTGGCTTACAAGTGACCTTCCGTCCCCGCTGCACTGCACATCTCTTACGTTCTCACTTCGACACGTTCTTTTTACATATATAGAGAAATTCTGGTTTCAATAACTATCCTATTGCCACATAAAGAGTAAGAGGAAAAAGGAAAGAAAAGAAGAGATAGAAAGAGAATGCTGTATGACTATGAAGTGCGACGAACGCGCATACCGAAATGTTTAAATAAAGGTGGGGTAGGGACAAAAACATAGAAAGGGTCAATAATGACATGGACATGGAGGATGAACAAAATTAAAGAAGGCGAAGCAGAAGTGCATGCAAGTAATGCATGTGTCTTTAGTATTAGGCGAGCAGCATGCTACAGGTCATTCTTTCACTTCCTATTAATTGCGCATTTTTGTTTCAAGCTGTTGCAACTTCAGACAACATCATGTCGTTGTCTTTTCACACTGGAGTAGTTAATTACTTCCATTTCATTAACTGGAATTCACCACCAGAAATTCTCCAAGGTCTGAAAACATGATCTCCAATACTTCATTGGCACACTAGCGAATTTCTCTACACTTTTTTTTAAACGAATAAATACTTTCTATGTACAACAGTCATCTTATACCAACTATCACTTCCTCCACCGCCTTTGTTTACAATCTCTCCATTTCTAGTACAAATTTTCTGCATTCCACAATTAAGCACTTTTATTCAAATGGATCGCTGAACGTCATTATCTTTATCATAAGGATTGATTTGATTGAAAATTGTGGGAAATTAACATTTAACACGAATTTACCAGTTGTCAGATTTCATTTTAAGAGAACACTGATGTTGTAGGAATTTATGTAGCATTCTTAACTAACAGATGAAGTATCTCTATATTATAACCTATTTAAAAAGTACCCTGCCAGGTTAATTGATGTTTTGATATTAAGGAAATAAGTTATTGGTAATTAATTGGTAATAAATTGAGTAGACAGAATGCTTATTAGTTTAGGAGCATGCTTATTTCATTGGATTTGATTTCTTTTTTCCCAAAAATTTAGAGCATTTCTTACCATGGAACTCGTCTGAGAATAATAGCGGTTCGATTAAGGTCCAGAACATATGCAACTAACTTAACTTTTTGAGTATTAAGTTGCCTAGGCTGTTTTATTTCTTCAATAAAGCTGAAAGTTTGATAGAGTTGGTTTACCTGTCGAAAGATGATAATGAAAGTAACCGTGGAGTTTGAATAAAACCTTCCTCGGATCAGCTATGAAACTTGGATCATTATTTTCGACCACGGTCGAAATCAGAACTGTTTGCATGCGAAATTTAAATTTTATAAAAGTTTTCAGGTCATACAGAAAGGATCCAGTATTCTCCATATATTGGAAACAATTCAAGGTAGGATTTCCTTAAACTAAGTGTGAGTTACCTTCGAAGCAATGTTTTTTTTTTTTTTTTTTTGAGTCGTCTGTGATATCGTCGTCATTAGATTGCACTTTTGCGATAAGCTTACAACAAAGTTGGATTATCAGCGGTATGCAACAGAAATCAAATATCAGATTTCGAGAAAGAGATTAGCAGTAATAGTGTTATTTGAAATTAGTAATGAGTCATACTAATGGTGTTATTGATGATATTCTGTTGTGTCACGTACTTCCTTGAAATTTGAAGGATAGGAAGCAGAAGCTCAGGAACTGCTTGTGGATTTTATTGTCATATCGAATTTGATCTGAAAGTTCAGTGTGGAAAATAAATAAATGGGGATGCAATTATCAGCACCCATTGTAAGAACAACTGGAGGACAGTTGGTGCAATGCTGACAGCATCTTTCTCCTCCCAGTGTTTTCAATTTTTATAAAAGAAACTCAAAGGATGCAAAAATGCCTTCAATTCTCAACACGATGTTTCTTTCCTCATTCATCTTTTGTTCCTTCATTTATACCATACCAACGGTTCGCTATTTTTCCTGATTCTAAATTTACTTGTCGATTAAATATAGATTTCTAGAAATCAGAAAGGTAGTAGTCTCAATTGTTTTCTTGTTATAAACAAATTGGTAAGCAGAATAAACTGACACTCAATAGTCATTATTGGAAATATCTATTGACTAAAATCATACTTCTGTAATAACCTCTTCTGACAGAACTACTTTTTGAGATGACAAGTGTAAGAGGCATAAAACGTGATACGGCAGCAATATTACAAAAAATGCACAACAATTTGCGGGAGAACTGTTTCCCACGACCAAGTGGTGGATGTGCATGTACTGTTAAACAAGGGGACGGTGTAGAAACCGTCGAAAATTACGATTCCAGTGAACAGTGCAGGTTGGATATTGCAGGTAATATTTGCGATTAAATATTTGAAATCCTCGGGAACATTCTGAGAGGCATCCATTCGCTTTGAAAAATTGGCTGGAAGTCATTACAATGTAATGAAGATTCAGAAAGTTTCGAGTGAAGCCAATTAATTAACAGGAAGTGGTTATATTATCTTTTTGTCGGAACTCTTTAAATAATCTTGTCGAGATAAGCATTACAACAGCAACAACTAAAATGATATCAATACAATTCAGTCCAAACAGTGTGATACACAACAGGAAGTTAATATGTTAAGCATATCCTGCACACATCAGACACCTGCTTTGATTGCGATAGTGATTTGAATCATTTCTAACTCAGTGTAATTCTGGCTTATTTGTAACTTATTTTGATATGATTTCCAAGTCTCCATAGTTTGTATATGATAGGGAATGATACAATGTAAAATATCATCTTTACACATTTCGAAATTAGTTTGCAGTTGTATGCATTCTGCTTTCATCTTTTTAAAAGTAGGAAAAGTGTAAAAAGCAGTCATGGGAAAATCGTATTCATATTTTCTGACTATATAAAATCACTGCTATGACAAAAAAGCAAAGTCTAAAATTAACAAAAAATTGAATAATCTGCCCGAATTAGTATCCTATGATTCAAAACTTCATTGACATATAGATTAAACCTCCTTTAGGTTCGGAATTTGGTTCATCATTTGTTCTTTATCAATAATGGACAAGCAATTGATAAAATATTGTTTAAGCATAGTTATGACAAATTTTATCAAAAAGCTGCATAAATCAACCGTTTTTTGCAAGTTGTCTGATCCAGTCATCAGTTAATTGAATTATTGAGAAACATTAAAGCTTGCATTTTCTGAACTTTTAAAAAATCAAATTTTAGCACAAACAGTGCATAATAAAAAACAGCTGAATGAGGAGATCAAGGATCGATATGGTAATTACAAGCAAGACTGCTTCCCGTTACCATCTGGGGGTTGTATGTGCACTGAAAGAGATGCAGTTGGTAATGAAGTGATGAAGAAATACGATGATGGGGTGCATTGCAAATTTTCGCAGGTATGCTCCAAACTTCCTATTGAAGCTGAAATTATATAGTAGGAGCCAGTATAAATATCTCTATGGAATTTTCGAGTGCATTCCGAAAATTTCAAAGCTGTTTGTATTTCTCTAGAAAAAATGCAAACTTGACCAACAACAAGAGTTCTATTTGTTTGCTATATGCTTAAATTATAATCTTTATCTACTAATAACAGACATTTGTGGTTAATCCATCTCAATTCTTGACTTTGATAAAGGATGTTTATGTTAAATTAAAAAAATAGATTTGGAAAAATTATTCAGTTTTAAACAATTCGCAGTTTGCATTCATTAACGTTTGACATTATTATACTATTAAAGTTTCTTTTTAAAAGTACCTCCCATGTAAGCTGCAACAGTTCTAGCGAAAGTTCTCAAATTCTAAAAATTATTTCAGTTAATAGTTCTTGATGCTATAAGCACAATTGATATATTCAATTGATATATTCATCTCTTTTTTTAACGGTTCGGATATTTCGCTACACACTTCATACCATATTTTTATTATTTTTAATGTATACAATATAATTCTTTTAAAAACCTCTACTACTATTTTTATTTTTTCATTTGTATTCCTCCTTACCAGCAAGTTGATCTGCAGTTAGTTTTCATTCGATAGCTATTCAATTTCTAAACACCAGTACACTAAATCTTTTTCCTACATCCCTATTTATCTTAAAAGTAATGCATATTCATCCATTTAATCGAAATATCTTTGAGACTATTTTCGCTGAAATTTCACCACTGTTTCCGATCATCAGATTTAAAGTCGTCTTGAGAGTTTGCAATAAACATTAAATTTCTTATTTCAAATATTCAATATTGCAGTATATTGCACCAAAAATTTTCAAGATTTTAAACACATCTTAAATAACACTATTTAATTCCAACAACTAATACTTAACTCTCCACATTGAACTCTTATGTATTTTGTTGCTTGTTAGAAGACTAAAAGAACAGCTAACGAACAGCTACCGCAACATGCTCGTGATCCAGTTCGAGAACGGGCTCAAGCAAATTATCGTGCCGTCGTTAATGAGTTAAATGAAAAATTTAAAGGACTCAAAGAAGGATGCTTTCCGAGACCTAAGGGTAAGTACAACTTTCAACTTCAGACTTCCAAAAAATAAATCTTTAATCAGATGAAAACATTAGCAATTTGCTTTGTTCGTCTAACTCTCCAGTTTAATCACAACGACATGGTCACAAATTTCGATGCAAATGTTTTGTTAATTCTGGAAATTCAAGGATGTTTGTGCGTGATCGGAAAAGATCGAGGCGGGCGAGATATCACGGAACGACGAATGAAAGATCGAGATTGTAAGTGTCAACCTGGTGAACGTAGCCATGGATGTCCAACAGGTGGTGCCTAGTGTGAGAAGCAGTAGTGTTCTTATTAATTTTTTTGTGAAAAAAAAACTGTCCCAGCATATTTTTATTATCTATAAAGCCATTCAATCCCCTTATGATTTTCAGCCAAGCATTTCATTGACATATTTTTGATATTTTCACGGATTTTTGATAAAATGTAAATATAGACGACTAGTTAAATAAAACTGGTTTTAAAAAGTTTCCTTGTAATTCTGGGTTTTATGAATTGCTTCATCAGCAGTGAATGCTTTATTTTAGTATTTCTGCAGTATTTCCAAGAAAAATAATTTTATTCCATTTACTAATAAAATTCCTTTGACCGGTACGAGTAACAGTTTTTTTTTTCTTTTCAGTTTTAGTAATCTTCAAATCATAGTTTAACTGTTATCCATATATTTAAAATAAACCTGACTTTTAGAGATGTTGCAAATGTCTAGAGAAAACCCAAAATATTGATTTTTGTAGTAGGTAATCCTATTATCCGAACAAGTGTTATTTAACTTTTAGGGTGGGTTATTTTGCCTCAAACATATTCAAGAAAATAATGGATTATCGCCTGTTGTTATTTGAAAATTTTCGTGCCTTCCAGTATTGATCCTTTTTATGTTTATAATCTAGAAATTCAACACGTTCTCAAGAACTTTTTAGAAATGCATAGGATTATTAAGTAGATATTTAGTCTTCTATTCAATTATTTTCACCACTTATAGGATCTAGGGGATCAGACCACCGTAATTGCTATTTTTTTGAAAATTTTCGTGCCTTCCAATATTGATCCTTTTTACCTTCATAATTTTTTATAAGCGCAAATTGTTACCACCGGGTAACTTTCCTAAAATGAAGCATTTTTTGATTCATGAGTTTATTTCTGTACAAATCTAAGTATGACTTCTAATTCATGAGATGAGGTGGGATTGTGAAATTCTTTAGTGGGCCTAGCTATTCTTAGGAAAGGTTGGGTTGGTTTTTTCGTGTGTGAAACTTGAAATAATATCTTCAGAACTGGAACCTTAATTTCATAATTCTGTAATAAGTTCAAGTTGCAGGCTTTGCTACTTTTTTGTTAATGGATTGAAGCGATGTAATTGAAATCGAATAGACAAATGTTGCAATTAGGAGATAAAAAAGAGATATCTGAGCTAGATAAAAATTTAAGAGTACGTGATAGCTTGCTGTATTAGTTATAAATAGAATGAAGAGTATTTAAAGTGCACCGACGAATGAAATGTTTTGAAAACTTGAATAAACATTAAAACTTCGTTTCATATCTACATTATTCTACTAGCTTAAGCATATTTCGGAGGTGTTGCCTTTCATAAATAAGTTGCAAACGGATTATCATAAAAATTGCAGTTGATATCATCTTTGCATAAATTGCATTACAACTGTCAAAAAATTGAAGCGAAAGTTTCTTTGTTTATGAAATAGATGGACCTAAACTTCTTTTATAGTTGTTAATCCTTATGACAGTTAGTTATCAAGAAATTGGGAATCTCAGACGTCTACAAATTGTTTCAAAGATAAGCAGTACTTTGTTCCTCTTTACAACAAATTTTGAAAATCATTCTTTGAGTATATTTTAAAACGTAGTGGATGAGTGTATCTTATGATAGCTATACAACAAAGTCTGAGCTTTATTTTTAAAGCTGAAAACAATTTTATATTTTATAAAATTTAGCGCAAAACTTTAGATTAAAAGTTGTTAAGGAATGTGTACTTAGTGGAAAACATGAGAAAAGAAATGCATTATAAATTATAAGTAGAAAATGGCAAAAACCAACAAAAATCTACATTTTGATTTAACTATAGAGTTATAGATGATAGTGTGATTATTATATAATAACATAAACTCTTCAAAGTGGACATCGATATATTACTTCAACTAACAATTTTGAAGATCGAGGGATGAACGGAGATGAAATGAAGTCCTTGTTGCGATTCT